GGGATGAGGACGGTGATTCAGTGCCCTCCAAGTCCTGACTCAGCCATTTGGAACTCTTTCAAACGTAGGAGACCCCAAACTGCCACCCTCACCTGCTTCTCTCTCCGCCAGGTGCCTCCTTGCCCCCCACAGAGACCCAGCGGCTCCTTTTTGGCACAGATGACAAGTGCTTCACCAGGATGACCCCCGTGCTGCTCTTGCTGGCCCAGGCACAGCGGGAGGAGGAAGAGGAGGAGGAGGAGGAGGTGGCTCTGGCCCAATCTTCCTACCTCTCTGCTGATGGGGTGGTGGATGTGGCTCCGTACCCACAGCTCAGGTCCGTGGCCCTCGCTGCAGACATGGGAAAATGCAGGGGCTGGGAGCTGGAGGGGGTGGAGAGGGGCAGCCCCAGCCCTTTGTGGGAGGAGGAAGTGGGACAGGGCCTGGCGGGACCCCCAGGGTACAAGGGGTCCTTGTGACCCTCCCTGTGTTCCTCTTGCAGCCCACCCCTGGCCGGGACTGAAGAGCTGCCATTGCCCACCACCCTGAATCACACCAATGCGTCCTTCTCAGCACCTGGCAACAGCAGCCAATTCCTGGGCATCCTCACTCGCTTCATCCGCCAGGTCCTGAGCCCCGACACCGAGCCTCCCACCCCACCCAGTGCCCACCACTGGTTGGACTTCCAGCTGATGGAGACCCTCCCTCACCAGCTGCTCAACCTCTCAGAGGAGGCGGCACTGGAGCGACTGGTGCAGTCGGAGGAGCCCTCGGTGCTGCTCTTCCCCCAGGACAGCGGGGCCATGCTGGAGCAGCACCTGGGGGACTGGCAGCCAGAGGGGACTGTGCTGCAGCTGCTGATGGGCAAACTGGAGGCGGTGATCCAGGAGCTGAGGGACATCCCAGCTTTCCGAGCCAATACGGGGCTTTTCCAACATCTCCTGAGTTTCTGCTACTTCCCGCCAGGGCTGGGCGAGGAAAGAGGTGTCGAGCAGCCCTCAGGCTTGGGAAAGCTGCACGCTCTGCTGCTGCTGAAGGCGCTGCAGACGGTGCGGGTGCGCTGGCAGGAGCGCAGGAAGGTGCTGCGGCAGAACCGCAGTGCGCGGCACCAGGCCCACTGCCGCCTGCAGGAGCTGACCATTGACCTGCGCGACCGCCAGTTCATCGTCATGCCCACCGTCTACGCCGCCAACAACTGTGAGGGGCCCTGCAAGTTGCCCCTCTCCACCCGCGTCCCTGGCTACCACTCGCACACGGTGCTGCTGCTGGGGATGCAGGAGCGGGGCTCCCCTCTCCAGCGGGCTCCCTGCTGCGTGCCCATCCGCTACTCGGACCAGCTCATCATCAGCCTGTCCGCGGAGGGGCTGGAGGTCCGCAAGTTTCCCAACATGGTGGCAGAGGAGTGCGGCTGTCGGTAGAGCCACCCCCCCCCATCTGCTTCCCTGCTCACACCCATCCTTCTACCCAATCCCAATTTGCCCTCCCAACTCTGGAGCTGGTGCTTCTCGCCAAGATGGAAGCTCCCCGCATGTCCTTGCCCCATGTTTGGCTCCTTAGCGTCGCTTTGGTTCTGGGTTTGTCTGTGGCTGTGCCAGTCCCACATCTCCCTGATGCTGGGGATATCTGAGGTGCTCATGGGGCCGTGCTGCTGCGTGGCTCTGACTGCGGTAGGTTTGGGGGGGATATGAGGGCTGCAGAGCCATTGCAGGAGGTCATGGCTTGGCCGATCTGGCCAGGACCATACTCATTGACCCCTGGCCTTCTGTCTCTGTAGTGGCTGCCCAGGGCAGTTATTGCTTCCTCCAAGCCCCACCTCAACTCACAGCACCCCCTGGTCCTTTCCAACCCATCCCCAAGCCCCCGCTGTCCACGCAGCTTCACCAGTGAAAGCAGAAGAGGAGGAAAAATCCCCTTGCAGGGACCAGCCTTTACCCAGGGACCCATCCCTGTATGAGCCAGGGCTGTGGAGAGCAGTGGCCCAGGGTTCTCTGCATCGCCTCACACTGACCCCATTCCCGGGTGCTGGCAGAGCCAGGGGGTGTGGGGAGGGGGAACTGCAACGGGAGTGATCCCGTTACACCCCTGGGCTGCTCATGCCATTAATAGGAGCGGGCACGATCGGCTGCCAAAGCACCTGCTCCGTGTCCCCGCTGGTGTCGGCACAGCCAGCTTGGCACCCCCAGATCATCTTCCCAGCTCGGCCAGAGCCATGGGGGCTGCTGCTGGGTCCAGCCCCCTCAAAAGCAGCTCTAGAGCTCATCCTGGCTGCAGCACCCCCATGCTGGGACCAGTCAAAGACACCAGGCTTTGCGTGTTCCTGTGGTGGGGGCATGGCTGGAGGCTGGCACACACCAAGGAACCCACTTTAGCCATGAGCCCCCATGTGCCTGGGATGGGGGGGGCGGGTGGCACAGAAAACACACAAACTTAACCAGAGACAAGATTTTTTTTTTGTTTTGACTTGTTGTTTTTTTTTAAAACATTCAATTTAATACCTTATTAAAAATGAAAATAGTTTATTTTAACCTCTATTGATTTAGCAAATACTTAAACCTGCCGCGGCTTGGGGCTGTGAATGTCTCTCGTAGTTGCTACAGCGCTGCGTGATGTTGCATTTGAGTTTCGTTCCTAAAAGCGACTCTGTGAAGGCAAGGCCCGAAGGGACCCCAAGGTGGTGGATTTTCCAGTCCTGCTGTGCCACCCTGCAGCGATGGCACTGGGGCCCGGCGAGGTCAGCGTTGATGTCCCTCCGAGGACGGCAGCAGCCCGGCTTTGTTAACCCAGAACACACTTCTCTCTTGATGTGCTTTAAATAAAACCATTAACTGAATTCAAGAGCTACACAGTCTGGAGACAAACTCTGTTCACTGGGATCCCTGTGCCCACTGCACCACCCCGATGCCTCGGGGACTGTGAGGGGAAGTGAACTGCACGGGAGCTTTTGGGTGGGGACAGAGAAACCACGCAAAGGCTGGGTGAAAAGAAGCCCCTTCACCTCGTCCTCTTGGGTTCCTTCGTGTGCTTCATCCAGGGGGGCCCAAAGTCCTGGAGGTCCTAGCAGCCCATGCCACCGGCCTGGGACCATCTCTGGAGGGTGGGCAGTGAGCAGCAGGGAGCCCCGGCTGGGGTGGTGGTGGGGTAGGACACCCCTGGTTTCAGCACCATCAAGCCCCCCCAGGCCACCCCAGCCTCAGTCGCGCCTCTTGCCCTCCCTGGGCCTGGTGGTGCCGTCCGGCTCCCAGGGCTTCCTGCCCTTCTGCTGCCGCCAGTCCCGCTTCGGGCCCTCCCGGCTCTCGGCCCTGCTGGGACGGCCCTTCCACCCCTCCCTCCTGGGCTCATCCCGCCCCCGTCGGCTCTCCTTCCCCTCCCGGCCCCGCTTTCTCGGGGGCTGCTGCTCCCGCTCCCGGGGGGCCCTGGGGGCTCTGCCGACCTTGTCCCCTGCTGCCCTGTCCTTGGCTCGCGCTTCCCGACGACTGCCACCCTCCTTCCGCAATTCTTCTTCTTCTCCTTGTCCTTGTCCTCCTCCTTCTTCTCCTTCTTCTCCTCCTTCTTTTCCTCCTTCTTCTCCTCCTTCTTTTCCTCCTTCTTCTCCTCCTTCTTCTCCTCCTTCTTTTCCTCCTCCTTTTCCTCCTTCTTCTCCTTTTTTTCTTTCTTCTTCTCCTGGCTCTTCTTCACCTCCACCACAACTGGTGGCACCTCGGGGACATCTGCAGGCTCTTCATCCTCGTCCTTGTCCTCGTCTTTGTCCTCATCCTTGTCCTCATCCTCTGGTGTTGAGCGGCCAAACCACTTCTTGAAGATCCAGGGCTCTGCCTGGGAGAGGGTGGAGGGGACCAGGTGCCGATGATGCAGCCCAAAGGACCCCTCTCCCCACTGCCCGCTGGGGACGAGATGCTCCCTCCCCATGGGAGATGCTCTCGGGATGCTGTTTCTCCCCCTCACCCTGGACCCATACCAGGTTGCTGTCAGCATCATTGTCATCATCATCGTCGTTGTCGCCATTGTCGTCACCATCATCGTCCTCAACCACGCTGCTCTCGGGCTGGGGAGGTTGGGCTGTCACCACTTCTTTGACCTCCTCCTCCTTGGGGATCACCACCTCTGGAAGCGGAGAGGGACAGGCCACCATCAGCAGGGGACTGTTTGGATGTGATACCCCAGACAGGGGGTCCCAGGGCCACCCTACCATGGAGGATTGGGGCAGCCCAGAGCAACAAACCCACCAGGAATAGGAGGTGGCGGAGGTTCCTGCCTGACACGACTGACTGCATCCCTGGAGCATGGCGCTGGAAGAGAGGAAAGGAGAGGAGGCAGGAGATAGCGGTAGGGTCTGCCCACCCCATCCCCCTCCACCCGGCTCCCAGCTCACCTTGGAGCACCTGGAAGGTGACGCTGAGCAGGGCCACGACAGAGGCCACCAGGATGCATTTGTTGAGGGTGAGCCCTTCCCAGAGGAGCGGCTCCTCTGCCGGCTCCAGGCTGGGGGACTCCACCTTCCTCTGCACAGGGAGGCTCTTGGGGACTGAGCACCCCCAAGGAAAGCAGCGTTACTGGGGAAGCTGGGAAGGGGCCAAGGGGATGGGAAGGGCAGGGACAGACAAAGGTGTTTGGGCAGGTAAGGAAAAGGGTGCCATGAGGGCTGAGTCAAGGGGTTTGGGCCATGCTGGCATTGTAGCATCCTGGGGCTCAAATGGGGAAAACTCTGCCCCTGCTCCAGGCTCTGCTGCTCCCCTGAAGGCCAGGGATGCAGGAGAATGGCCAGGCTGGCCATTTTGGGGCAGAAAAGGGCTTTCCTTCACACCCACCTGGTGGTCCAGCAGCGCTGCCTTTGGCTCCCACCTTCTTCTCCGCTGCTTTCTTGTCCACACTGGGCAGTGCTGGCTCTGGCATGCTCAGCTCTGGCTCGTCCTGATCCTGCTCAGAGACGCTGTGTTGGGTCCTTGACTCCTCTAGGCCCTGCGGCCAGGGTGTCAGAGCATCGCAAGGCCGCTGAGCAGCATGGTGGGGCACAGCTGCACGTGTGTGCCCCCTCCCAGAACAAGGGGTGCTCAGCACAGCCGTGCAGGGACCTGGGTTCCCCCGGGGCTGAACCGATGCCACCAGCCTTGAGTGGTGCAAACCAGGCTTGACACTGGCTCCTCGAGCAACCAACCCTGGTGCGTTGATTTGGACTGGATCAAAACACATTGGGCTTTAATTTTTGTCTGCTAATTTGGATTTAGCCACTAGCTGGCTCTGTGCTGCAGAGTGGATGCTGGTGGAGCCAATGGGTGAGTGGTGGCTGCTGAATCCCGGGCTGTGCTGGAGGAAGCCCCCCCAGAGGAGCCCTCGGGGCTGAATTCACCCCCAGATGGGATGAGCACGGCCACAAACATCCACTGACAGATGGCGGGATCCATGGGGGTCAATGCACCCAGAGAAGAGGGAGCACACATGTGTCAGGGTCTGGGCTTGGTGCTGCAGGGCTGCTGTCCTGTGTCAGCAGCATCGGATCAGTGCCACGAGGGAGAGCTGCCCCCCAGCACGGAGCAGTGACAGTGACAGCGACAGCTGAGGGACGCGGCCATCGGCTGCCCCGGGATGGACATGCACCACCGTCCTGCAGAGTCCCCATGGGCTGAATGCGGGACAGCCCCCCCCGGCAGCCCCCGGCCCCAGGATGCTGTGCACTTACATGGGCTCCTCTGCTGTCCCAGTCGCTGTCACCGGAGCATCAGCATCTGTTAAAGACAAGCACAGTGCAGGTCGTTAGGTGGTGAATTTGGGGAGGGGGGAGTTCCTGTGTGGTCTTCCCACTGCCACGCACCGGAGTGGGGACATCCTGGCCACATTCCCCTTGTTAGTGCAGCTGGGTCACCCGTGGAGAGTGGTTTCAGAGGACAGTCTGCTGTCCCAGTCGCTGTCACCGGAGCATCAGCATCTGTTAAAGACAAGCACAGTGCAGGTCGTTAGGTGGTGAATTTGGGGAGGGGGGAGTTCCTGTGTGGTCTTCCCACTGCCACGCACCGGAGTGGGGACATCCTGGCCACATTCCCCTTGTTAGTGCAGCTGGGTCACCCGTGGAGAGTGGTTTCAGAGGACAGGCAAAATGCACCCCTGGCCATTGCGGCAGCAGCCGTAGGGTGTGAGAGCAGCACTGAGCCCCAACACATCACCATCCTGTGTGTCCCTGGGGAGCTGCGGCTGAGAGGGACGGTCACCTCCCTGCCAAGGCACACGGTGAGGGACGAAGAGCCCAGGGTGTGCATGGATGCCCTGAAAACACTCGGCTGGAGGTGGCTCCAGCCATAGCCTTGATGGCAGGATGAGCTCTGGGTACTGCTGAGCAACCGGACCTCAGAGACAGCCTTGAGCTACCCAAGAGGACGACAAAGCTCAGCGATCACCCTTGGGGCTTTTCCCAGATGTGAAGTGGGAGGGAAACTGGAGGGTCCCAGGGCTCTGCAGTGGTTGGGCACAACGAAGGACTGGGGAGTGCATGGGGCTCCCCCTGCCCCTGGGTCTGGGGTGAACTCTGGGGGTGAGCCTGCACCAAAATGGTGTCAGTGCCATGCAGCCTCAGCCCTTTTGGCACCTCCGAGTGCAGCCCCTGCTCCGCTGGGATCTGGATGCTGTATTCTTGCAAGCCCTCACCAGAAGGAGGGATTTTTCCCTCAGTGGACGAAAGAATGTTGAGAAAAATACTAGTTCCTGGGGTGAAATCTGAGACATGATATTGGATGCAAAACAAATGAATAAGAGAAAGACTTTTGGCTGAGGAACTGTGGCCTGAAAGGTCTTTGCTTTCAAGATTAAATAAATAAATAAATTAGAATAAGAATTTTTCCTTAAAGCATTTTTCCCCCAAGTGCTTGTTGTGTCTTTGAGCTACACAGCTATTCTCACTTCTTTTGAGTAGAGACGAGCCCGAGGAAGATGAAGGAGGCCACAAACCTCCATTCTTCTTTGCTCTGGCCACAGCTAATGTCCCCGTGGGGCTGGTGCCATGTGAGTGCCCCCCTTGGTATCCCAAGGTACCTTTTCCCCCGTCCCTCCCGGTCTCAGGGCATTCCGAGTCTTTCTCCACCGCCTCCTGGGGACCTGTGGCCACAGCACCTCATGGGATTCTCACTAAACCCAAGGGACAAAACAGAGGAGCCCAAACCTCCTCCAGTCCCTGGGCACGGTTCTGGGTTTTGCCACAATGACCGCAGGGCACTGTGACAGGAGGAGGGCCCACAGCCATAACCCCCACACCTCGCAGGTGATAACACAGTCCCAGAGCTGACTGGCTCCATGCCCAGGACTGTTCCCCTCCAGATGGGAAATGAGGTCTGTTCCTCAGCATTTTGGGGCTCTACAGCCCATGTAGGGTCCCTATTCCCAGTCAAGACGGGTTGTGTCACCCACAGGGCCACCTTTCCTGGGGCTGGTTCCTGTCAGAGCAGCTCCAGCACTGATGTACCGAGCACACGGCCACTGCCCATGCAGGGAATGTAACTGGTGGCAAGGACAGCCACCAATGCCAGGGATGTTCACCGATGCCAGGGACAGCTTGCCCATGGCAGGGCTGGTCAACCGCAGCCACAGAGCCCAGCTCCAGCCCTGACTCACACCGACTCCTGCCCAGAAGCCGTCCCATGCAACTGCTTGACACAGCCACCCCCTCCCTGGCGCTGCCCATGCTCCGAACACCAGATCTGCTTTTAAATGCACAAAATGACAGACACTCAACAAATAATCAGCTCTGCTGGGGCTTTTCAGGCACAAGCTCCCGAGGTTGCCTCCACCACTGACTCACATCAAAGAAACTTCCAAAAATAGTCCCCTCACCGGCCCTGCTCTCCCCGTGTGCGCTCACATGGCAGCACCAGGACGGGCCCCGTGGCCCCTGATCTGCCCCTGGCTGGCAGCGGGGCCAAGCACTGCCCCATGGCTGTGCCCGTGGGTGCCCTGTGACAGACTGAAGGGGTTAAAATCCACAGAAATTCATACCTGGGGCTTGACCACCACCGCTTTGCCTCCAGCTCCCCGACTGGCTCCGGCTCTCCAGGGTAATATACAGCGACAGCTGCCGAACCGTGCCGGAGCAAAATAGCACCCAATCACCGGGAGCCCGAGCACCCGCGCTTCACCCCCAGAAAAGGCAGCTTAGCCTCGGGCGTCGAAGGCGAGGTGGGCACAGGAGGATGCGGCTCTAGAGGGCACCGGCGACACAATTTGTTCCTCTGTGAGCCTCCCCCGGAGGGCATGAAGAGAGGAGACAGGGCGTTTTGCTCCCCAACACGGGGTCTCTGACTCATGGGATGGACATGGGGATGCAGATCAGAAACCTGCCTGGTGGTGTAGGAGAGAGGAGAGGCAATCCCTTGGGACCAGCAGTGCTTAGACAACCCCAGTAAAAAAAACACTTTTTGCCAGTGTTTAGAGCAGGTACTTTGCCCTCTGAAATCTCTGATTTCCCCGCAGAAAATTCAGGAGCCCTGCTGCACCCCTTGAGGAGGCGGGGAGGGATGTGGTCCTCACTGCAATTTCCTGCTCACAGGAGGGAGCAAGGAGATGCAGTATCTCCCATCTGGGGAGCTGAAAAGGACCATCAGGCTCTGTGGTGCAGTCCTGGGTATGTGGTGCAGCCGTGGTTGGTACCAGCCCAGCACATTTTGTTGGCATCCTGCTTTGAGGACGTCTCTCTTATGGAGAGCCACTTCTGAAAGGCTTCAGGTTTAAAAAAAACCCCTGAAAGTGTGATTTTCGACGTTTTTCTTTAGCAGAAGTGTGAAATGTCTTTGATTGCGAGATCTAAAGGAGGAATTAACTGGACACTGGTATCCCAGAGAGGACACAGCCTTTCTCCAGGACACCCAGTGGGACTGGGTCATGGTCCTGCTGTAGGGCCATGCAGCAAATGAACTCGGGAGCCATTGTTTGCTTTCCAGGGCAGGGATTTTCCCTCTTGGGCAGCGACAGGACTGAGCACACCATGAGCCCTGCCGCAGTATAAATAATGTGATGCAGAAGTCGAATGCCGATGGAGGAAGCGATGGAGCTGCAAACACAGTCCCCATACCATGCTGGGACTGCGGGTGTGCACACCAAGGGCAGTTTTCTCCATTTTATTCATGCTCCGGTACGGTCAGGGCAGTTAACTGGCAAGGTTGCTTTATAGGGCCATAATAAAAGCAGAAAATGATAAAGAGGCCAAATAAACATCCTTTCTTCTTCCAGTTAATCAAGTTTGCTGTGGTGCTCGCAGCTCTGTAGGCTTGCTCCTGCCCCCAGGAAAGCACCTGGGGGTTGAATGGGACACGTCTGCACACACAGAGCCTGTCAAAGCGTCCTCCCACTTTGGAGCCATGGGACCTGGAGCTCTACTCACCCTTTCCAGGACTTTGCTACACCCCGTTCCTGCAGTGGGGAGGGACCAGGGTGTTTTTGCCTCCACACGCTCAGCTCCAAGCAGCTCCCCACCAAGCTGCAAAGCCTCCGTCTCTCTCAGACAATTTATCCCAGGCAGATGGAGTAAAGAGATTCCCAGAGGCAAATTCTTTCCTAATCCCTTGAAAACCCCCCAAAATCCCGGCTTCTCCCTTATGAGACTGATAAAAGTGTCTTTGGGACAGGGTGAGCTCAGAGAGGTGGGGGAAACATGATCTGGCCGTGAGCTCAGGCAGAGAGAAAGTTGCTGTGGACAAGGGCTAGGCTCCATGTCCAGGCTAAATATTGACTCCCTGGTTTGGCTGGATGACACAGATCTGTCTTCTCCGACGTCCCCGGCTGTGGGCTCGCCTTGCACTCACACGGATGCATCTCTGGCCGCCCTCGGTGCTCTGCCATGGTGGCTTTGTGGTTTGCGGTCCAGATGGAGCGAGTTGTGCTGCAGCATCCCCATCCCGCTTCTATGGCAACACTCATTTATCCTCCCACCAGGACATCATCTTCCTTCTCCCTGTCTTTAATAACTCGCAGTTAAAAGGCAA